AAAAGTATAATCTTTTTTCATATTTTCCTTTTTTCTTGTATGAATAAAAAGAAAGTTGGTTTATTACAACTTATTTCAGTTTTTTTGTGCTTTCTCAATGATCTTTCCTTCCAAGTCATTAGTATATTTTTTTAGTATTTTGGTCAAACATGGTCACTCTATGTACTTTTAGCCAAGCCACCGAGATAAGTGGAATTTTTTAATATACTTTTTTGTGCTAGCTGCTAGATTAATCATTGTTATTTTTTGTTGATTTGTGCTTATGAATGGTGTTTTTGTATAAGTTGGAATCTTCAATTAGGGGTGGCAATTCGGTTATAACCAGTAACCGATCTGTCGGTTATCGGTTAACCGAAATAACCACTCCCTCTACCAAAAACCGTCCGAAATAGACTTCGGTTTCTCGGTTATCGGTTAACTGAACCACTTTTAAGACCAAAAACCATTTCGTCTAGTCTCCGATAACCGAACAAAGTTCGGTTACTTCAGTTACCGGTTAGTGGATAACCGGTAACCGAACAGCCACCCCCTATCTTCAATGGTGAAGGCTCAGGAGAAAGAAAACCAGGCTTGGACATAATGAAGATTCATAAACCCATCGAGACACAAGAGGAGGCAAAATGTAAATGAAAAGGCAAGCAAGAGAAGGTTGTCATCCAAGAAAAATACTTGGAAGAACTATGGTTGAATGATGTAACCATAAACACATATGTTGATGAATACTTGGAAAAGATAAAAATCGATATCGAGACTACTATGTGCGATTCTTCAATCATTGTAGGGTACATAACATCACAAGGGGAAACAAATTATTTTTTTTATCCACAACTCTTATTGGAAAGAGTAGGGGATTGAGGGGATATGTAAGGTGATGCGGGCTTCGTCTCTTAATGTTGATGGTTATGAGGGATCGAAGCCTTCATTGATCAAAGCCTATTCATATTCATATCTAGAGGTAGAGGTAGAGGTAGAAGATGAGTAGTATTACTATAGGGAATTCATTTTGTGCTGCTCACATTAGTGATTTTGTTTCCAAAATTGAACTGTTTCTTCTTATGTATCTTTTGTCTTCTTATCTAAAATGCAGAATTCTTTCTCATTTCTATCCTTTTACCTTGTACGACGATCCAACCATAAGGATTGGATACCTCAACTTGTTTGAGATGGTCATCGATGCAGTTCTCAAAGGCGTGGCAGTGGATGGGCACGGCGGAAGAATTCTCGTGGTTGTTGGTGGCACCGGATGACCGAGCCAAAGTGGCCCTAAAGATCCCTGCGCCACCCCGACGATTGCGAAAAAAGTACGTCATGTTCCTTGTAACTCACTTGAGCAGCGAGGCAGACAAGTCATGAACCTTTATTAGGGATGAAAAAAAATATATGTAATCGTGGATATCCGCCGGAATCCGATCTAATTGGGTAGGGTAAAACCCGAACCCGAAGGTCTTTTAGTGGGTACGGGTAAAACCTGAACCCGAATATTGCAGGTAATGGGTGGGCATGGTTTTCTCACTATCCAACCCGAACCCGCCCGATTATACACATGCATATGTATTTTGTCTAGAAATAATCAATATTTTTCTCTAACATATATAATATTTTAGCATATAAATATAAATTTTTTAATGAAATTGTGTTGTTTTAACTAATTTTCTTCATTCTAGTGAATTATTGTCGTACTTTTCATCTTACTTAACGTGATAATACGTGTAGATATTAACATGTTGGTTGGAGTTATATAGGAAAACTATTACCCATGGATAACCGTGGATACCCGAAACCCAAATGGGTATGGGCATGGTTTGGATTTTCTACCCGTTTCTTATGTAGGTATGGGTATGGGTAAAACCGGAACTGCTTTTTTCGGAGATGACAATAAAGTTGACTTCAATTTCCCCTCTGGCACTAACATTGCAAAGATACATGTAGTAGATATCGTGCATTTTAGTTAAGGTCCAATTAGCCTGCTTGAGTTCTTGCAGCATGACAATTCCAAGCCTAGAGCTTCATCTTAAGAGTTAAGACTGAGTCTTAATTGCATGTCTACCACTATACTTTCTTCTTCCTTGTGAAACCTCTTCACTTCTTTGTAGCCAAACAATGAGTCAAAATCGCGTTTTAAAACTTAAAAACTTCTAGATCACTAAAACGCTTCTACACAAAAACTCAGTTTTTATACCTTATGTAGTTAAAAACTCCGCTTTAAAACTTAAAAACTTACGATTTTACGCTTCCAGATCACCAAAACGTTTCTACATAGAAACTCGCTTCTGACTACATTGTAGCCAAAGATACAAAAGCTTCACATAGAAATAGAGTATGAATGGTAGTTAAACAAAGAAAAGTAAAGTGACTACAACCACTTTTACGTTGTTTTTTATATTTTGTTCTCAGTATCAACTAGTCCATGGTCGAAGGACCTCAATGTGAATCCTTCTACGATACACTATAAAAATGTATCTTATGAAGCCCACCAATAAACGATCCCAGAATGCTCCATTCTGCTCGATCAAAAGGCAAGATGTACTTACCTCCCGATTAAACCAAACTTAGTATTTCCCTAATACCGATTTCAAGCCATCACCCCCTATTGCTCACTCATACCTTTCTTTTCAATACTTTACAATAATCCTCTTTGTTTTTGTATTGAAATTCTTAGAAAAGAAAGACCTCGTTACCTACCTAAGGTTGTGTTGTAAAAATGGTAGTATATAGAATTTCTTGCAAAATAAGTGAGATATAAAATCATGAAATCATGCAAGCATAAGCAAAATAATTAAATTCTTCTCTTGTACTCAAGGTTACAAAATTTCAACCCTAATGTTCTATAGAGATTATTGGTAAAGTAGGAGAGAGAAAAACCTTACACCTCTCTCTTCTTTGGGTGCTTCCCTAGGTCTTGTCGTTGAAAATGTTTCCACTGACCGTTGGCAGACACACGGTGGAAGTGGAGGCAGACCACTGCCTTAAGCCACAGGATGGTTCCCCATCTTCATCGTTGGCGGCCTAGCGCAACCTAGTAAAAAGGCAAAATCTAGTACATGTGAAGGCTTTTATGGGGAAGGAGGAATGGATATTTCAGTATTTACAGCAACAAAGTGAGAGGAGGAGAGAAATCCCAATGAAGAATGAGCGAAGGAAATCAATACGGCGACAAAAGAAACGAAGGATCTGAGAATGCCAAAGATCTTGTACAAGGATTCCTTTATCGGTAATAGCCCTCGATTATTTTTCTTGAAGGTGAGGACTTGATGTCGAATGAGTCGGATGGAGAGAAAGAAGATGATAATCAACATACAAGTTGGCTGTTAATGAACTGGAAGCTGAGCATGTGAATGTCTAGATGCTATCTGGAAATGGAAGGGACCTAATGGCATCAAGATGTTCCTATGGCTGGTGCTTCATGATAGAATTATGACCACAAATGGGAACTGTAGTCACTTCCTCAAGCTTAAATGCGCACAGAGGGGCTTTCAAAGGGATAGAGAAGGGCATAGGAAAGTACTCAACCTTGACTTTAGTACTGCCATCAATATCATCAAGAATAGCCAAATACTAATCATAGACATAGGTTACTTTCCCAAGAAAGTAACCACCTTTTGAACCTTGATTGGGAGGTTACATGTGTATAGTGAGTGCAATTATGGTGCTCACTTCCTCGCTAATAAGGTTCATCTCTTCCCTTTTGGTACACATTCTTTCGATGTGTGCGATACGAAGTTTATGTATTGGATTTCTTATGATATTTTGGGTGTTACCCAAGAGCGATCTGTTTATAATATGAACTAAAGAAGCTTTGTGTCTTTCTTTTACCAATAAAAAATTAATAATTCCTCCCATGATAGAAAGTGGTATGCTAACCATAGCATTAGTTCGTTCAATGGCGGTTGAACTAAGTGGTATGCTATAACCATCATCTCGGTTTGGCTTGGTTAAGGCATAACTGGATTCAGGTTGGTTATAGAAACCAGTCTGACTGAGTATCTACAGATCAAATCGACCAAATTAAAGGTCGAAGCTACCATCTCACGTCTAACCAATGATGTATTTCAAAACTATGAAAAAAGCAGTGTGATTCTCAACTAAGAATTAATTGCATCGAGATAGGTGGGGTTTCCTTTAAACCTTCCTTAGTGAACATATATCGAGTGTACTCGCCAATAGGTAGATATGATATCTTTAAGCCATCTATTTTAATTGTATACTTAGACAATATATGTCACTCAACCAACTCTTATACGTTCAATGGCCTCATTTTTGTGTTTGTTTTAGCTATGAACACCGCTTTGTCTCATGAGTGTTTAGAGAACTTGTCTTTTTTTATTCTCCTTGAAATGGCTCTACTTAACACTCATATAGGTGATTTCTAAACATATATTCCGAAAATACATTAGTTGATCACATCACGTGTCAAACTTAGAAACCATTGAAATCCTTTCATCTTTAGGTTTACCCTTATTGTTGGACATTTAGACTTATCTCATTGAACCTAGAGGTTGGGTATGTCAATCCTATTAGGTAGAGTTACCACCATGATGGTTTGTCTTAAGCCACCTGTCTATTCCTTTTGATGCTTTAATTAATCTCTTGGGTGCCCTACAATTGTTATCACTTAGATAATAGGGTAATGACTATTTATTAACCAAACTTTTTTCGAATTCTTTTTTATTAACCAAACCTATTGAATTTCTAATAATTAGCCAAACGTTAACTCTCTGTCAACTTCTCTATTAGTAATGCTCAGTAAGCATGACATGATGGGTTGGCTTCCCCGGTGGCGGTCAGAATACCATCATCTTCTATTTTCAATAAAAAAATTATGAAAGAAAATAAAAATAAAGAAAACAAAACAAGATCCCACCCCTCACGTCTTCTCCCCCTCCCTTCTCACTACTTCCCACACCGCCTCTCACTACTCCCCACTCCTCCGATTTCTTTCATCACAACCCTCTTCTGATTGGTTTGCGCCACACCCCTCCAAATCTGATTTTCGCTACATTGCATGCTTCTCCCTCCCCCGTCGTTGTTGCAGCCAATTAGAGACTAGAGAGAGTGCGGTGGCGGTGGTGGCTGCGCTATCGAGGAACGACATCCAGTGGCGGCGAACCCTTCACCCGCCTTATTCCTCACTGATCTGGTCGTCGTCCCTGGGGCATAGGGGAAACCCCTCGACGCTATCCAAGCCCAAATCTCCAATTGAGAATTGGGGAAAACCGTTGTCGGAATCGAAAGCCCAATTAGAGAAGAATGTTGGCACCTCTTCATCTTCCTCCAATCCTCCTGCACCAGCACCAGCGTCAGCGTCAGTCCAAGCAATCCTCCTAGTCCTGTTCCGTTCTGACGCCCAACCCCTCATTGAACTCGATTCCCCAAAACACCTCTTCTGATTTTTTGTTCTTCGAGTCATAGATCTAGATTTCCAGATTCGACAGTGGGCGATGGCGTCAATGTCCTCCTTAGTTTCGACGACAGGGTTGGACAGACGAGGGAGATGACATGCGGGGTTGGGCGATGGAGGTTGGTTTAATGGGAATAGGTTTGATGGCGTGGAGGCGGAGGCGAGAATAGAGGAAGAAGAAGCGATGGAGTTGCAGGGCCAATGAAGGTTTTTTAATTCCTAATTATTTTTCTTTAATGATATGAGAAAAAATAAATTAATGTTTTTCATTTCTAAGGTGGACGCTGAGGTGGAGTATTGTTTATAAATAATTAAAGGTAACAGAATGATAGCTAATACTTTGATCGGTTACAATACGTTTGGTTAATACATAGTATTTCAATAGGTTTAGCTTAAAAAAAGAATCCGGAAAAAGTTTGGCTAATATATAGATATTACATTAGATAATATGATCAACTCATATAACTTTGTCTAGAGATTACTCGATCAATAATGTATGTTTTCATTATCTATGACGAGATTTATTACATAACAATTCTGGCCTTGCTAGAACAACTTCGTACCTTTACAAAGTGTGTTTATTGATACCTAGTATTTGCAACTAGACTATTGAATTTCATCGTCTTATAATGTGTGTATAGTTCAACTTGGACATTTTCCAAGATAGTGCTCCCTAATAACCATAAATGCAGATCCATTGATGGATTATGCTTTGGGTTCATCTAGTGAGTTCCTTTCACTACAACACAAAAAAGAATCATTTCTTTTGATTCACTACACATCATGTGGTTTGACATGATTTAATTGCCATGAAATAAATATGTTGTAACCAATTTTATCATAATGGAATCGTAGTATGAACCAACATAGTTAGTGGTTCACATTTTAATAGTTTAATCATTATTAAGCCATTAAAAACTCATAATGAGCCAAGATACCTCATAAATTAAAAATATTATAAGTAGAACGCATGAATCTTAAAGCAGAAATCCTAAACATAGCTCTTAAAACATCCATGAATGAATAATATTAAAGTTAGAAACTGTCTACTGTTGCATAAGGGTCATTCTAATGTGACAGGTTGGTTAGTTTTGCTTTGCTTTGCTCACAACCATTTTTTTATTGGCCTGTTGCTAATTAATCTTCTTCTAGGTTTTGGCTAATCCATAATGAGAGTCGGCCTCATCAATGCTTGGCCATGTTTTAGAGTTTTATATAATGAGTTGATATCATTTTATCTCTTATTTGCACCTCATTTTTATATTGGGTAGCCCAATTAAATTAGACTTTACACGTTGTTTCAAACCGAGTCTCGATTTATGTTAAAAAAATCATAAATTAAGTTAATATTAAAGTTAGAAACTGTCTACTGTTGCATAAGGGTCATTCTAATGTAACAGGTTGCTTAGTTTTGCTTTGCTCACAACTATTTTTTTATTGGCCTGTTGCTAATTAATCTTCTTCTAGGTTTTGGCTAATCCATAATGAGAGCCGGCCTCATCAATGCTTGGCCATGTTTTAGAGTTTTATATAATGAGTTGATATCATTTTATCCCTTATTTGCACCTCATTTTTATATTGGGTAGCCCAATTAAACTAGACCTTACACGTTGTTTCAAACCTAGTCTCGATTTATGTTCATAAAAAATCATAAATTAAGTTTGTAGAAGAAAAGTTAGCATTAGAGTATTTTGTGCTAAAATCATAGTTCAACTGTGGTTAAAATCAGGCTTGACAAGTTGTTCCAACCCGAACCTCCATTTGTGTTCAGAAAAAAAAACCCCAAAAATTGTAAAACCATACCAAAGGTCGTACCGATAAAGTTAACATTAGGGTATTTTCTGCTAAAATCGTAGTCAATCATGGTTAAATCAGGCTTTGACATGTTGCTTCAAACCGAGCCTCGATGCATGTTCATAAAAAGACCAAAAATTGTAAAACCATACTGAAGGTCGTACCGGTAAATTTAACATTAGGGTATTTTCTGCTAAAATTGTAGTTCAATTATGGTTAAATCAGGCTTGACCTGTTGCTTCAACCCGAGCATCGATGCATGTTCATAAAAAAGGCCAAAAATTGTAAAATCATACTGAAGGTCGTACAGGTAAAGTTAACGTTGGGGGTATTTTGTGATAAAATCGTAGTTCGATCGTGATTAAATCAGGCTTGACACGTTGCTGCAACCCAAGCCTCGATGCATGTACATAATAAATCAAAAATTGTAAAACAATATCGAAGGTCGTACATAAAAAGTTAACATTAGGTCATTTTGTGCTAAAATTTTAGTTCAGTCGTGGTTATATAATTTCATACAACTAAAATTACCTATCGATTAAGATTCCGTTAGGAGTTTTTCTATTGGACCGTCAGTACGGTACAATCGTAGTTTAAGCGTCGTTAAATCAGTATAGACACATTGCTCCGACCCGTGCCTCGATTTATGTTCAGAAAAAACCTAAAATTGTAAAATCATACTGAATGTTATACCAAAAAAGTTAGCATTAGGGTATTTTGTGCTAAAATTGTTGTTCAACCGTGGTTAAATAAGGCTTGGCACATTGCTCCAACCCGAGCCTCGATGTACAGAAAAAATTCAAAAACTGCAAACCCAAACTGAAGGTCGTACCAAAAAAGTTAGCATTATGATATTTTGTGCTAAAATCATAGTACAATAGTGGTTAAGTCAAAAATGATAAAATCATACCAAAAGTCATTCAAGAAAAGTTTGAATAAAGACATTTTGTGTTAAAATCGTAGTTCAATCGTGATTAAATCGTAACATACATTTAAAATAACCTACCAGTTTAGATTCCGTTAGGAGTTTTTCTATTGTAACGCTGCTAACCGCGGTCAAAAATCAAATACGGGTTGGCAAACAATACTTCTAATTCTATGAAAATCCGCGGGGAAGCGAGGCACATAATCAACCTAGTAGCTTTTAGGTAGATCCACAACCTCTTTTAAAGGTGCAACTGTTGCTCTCTCCCCTCCCTCTCTTGTCGCCGTGAAGAAAATGTGGAACAAAGCTTGGAATTCTCCATGACTTCTTCCCAAATCTAGAATCCAGCTTGCCAACCGCATTACTATTAATATCGATGGAAACCCCGTTGGGGGGATTGTTGACGTTTAACCTCGATGGAGCTTCTAATGGGAACCTAGGACAGGCTGGTTCAGGTGAAATTCTGTGGGATATTTTGCGACAGAGGATTGCAGGCTTTGTCACCAGCATTGGAACCGCTTCAACATGCCTCGCTGACCTTTGGGCCTTCTACTACGGCCTCGATTTGGCTTGGAAGAGGTGATGCAGAGTTGTCATTATACAATCAGACTCCCAGCTGGCGATTCATCTCCTCAAAATTCAGACAAGATCCGGTGCACCCCTATGAAACTTTACTTTTAGTGATTCGTAGGAAGCTAAGTCAAGATTGGATAGTAAACATCACTTATATTTATATATAAATATAAAGGGAGTAGAGTCACATATCGACTCTCAAATATAGTCTGATCTTACCTCTGTAGTATGCATGAGCAGGGGCGGAATCAAGATTTTAAGTTTGGAGGACCGAATGACTTAATGAATTATCATAAAAGTGAAAAAAATATATAGTGAAAATAATGATGATATTATAATAATGAGTTAATATTTTATTTAAAAAAATTCAAAATTGATGGACCCCGTATTTCACCATCCCATTTCTTTAATGACACATGGCTACGAGTTGAACTAAGGAAGCATTTATTTATTCCATTACCCATCTCAAGCAACCACACTCCAAGTAACCTCACACACAATATAGTTTCATTCCCACTTAACCTACTTGGAGGAAAATGAGGCAATGTCAAAAGTCATCTCATTACATGATGGAGCAATTAACTCTTTTTCCATTGGTTGGTTTGGTTCCTATTATCATCCCTCCCAAGCCACCAATCCGCTTCTCAATACAAGCCCATGTGGAAGGGAGTCAGGGACAAGTTAATTTCCTCTTCCACTAGCCACCTGGTCACTTGATCCCAAACAACCCACCATTTCCATTCCATATCACTGCCACGTAGAGGAAAGAAAGATGGAAGGTGGGCAAGTGTGTTTCATTATTAGTCTCATTTATTTAATTGGTTGAGAAGATGGTTTGTCCTACTTCAACAAATACAAAGATACAATGACAGACTCTTCTAATTACACATAGGGATGGCAATGGGTCGGGTTGGGCCAAACCCAAATCCAAACCCATGGGTTTATCTTTGAAAAAAACCCGGGGTAAAACCCACTGGGTTTGAAAAACTCAAACCCAACCCAACCCGTTGGGTATCCGCGGGTTCATGGGTACCCACGGGTTTTGTCGTAAAAAATTTACAATTACAAGTTCTTATCAAAATTAAAGTCAAATATCAATCTCTCAATACAAATTATCCATATATAAAACACCATTCTAGAAAATTCAAGCAAATCACAAATAAACTATACAAATTGGTCAACACCAATCTAGAAAACTCAAGAAAATTGAAACAAATCACAAATTATTCATAAATAACATGTTTAATTGAAAGCTTCTTCATTTCAATTAAGTTTCTTTACTCTCCACTCCATAACATCAACTTCATTCTACACAATTAAAAAGAAAAAATTAGACATGTCTCCACAAACATAAATAAGATTAGTTGTTTAGAATATTAAATATACCGAAAAATTAATTATATGAGTGGGCGGGTACCCACGGGCCGGGTTTACCTAAACCCAAACCCAACCCAACCCAATGAATAGTGAACGGGTTTAAACCCAAACCCGATCCAAAACCCGTCAACACGGATTTTACCCGCGTTGACCGGGTTGGGTCGGGTGGGTACCCGTGGGTTCGGGTTTTGTTGCCATCCCTAATTACACATGGGCGTGAAAAGGGTAATATACTATGTTATTTCACTTTTTGTAATTTAAGTGACTAATTGTATCTCATAAAAAATGCCACTTCCATGCCAACGTGTACAGAGGAAAGGAAGATATTCTCTTTTGGTTGGTGGAGAAAGGTTAAGAATGCTAAATTATAGCTTCTTCACCAATTACCCCTTCGTAATTGGTTTTCCACCAAGCTACCAAAACACACTTTCCCCATATCACTATTCGCGAAAATGAGGTGGCATAATTGCATTCATTATATTTGCCACAACCAATTCATTTCTCCCTTTGGCTACAAGTGGGAAAAGGAGAAGAGAGGTAAGGTTATTTTGGTGGCGATATGTGTTCTTCCTATCTATTTGCTTAACCCGACCAACCATTGAACATTGGGTGGTTGGCAGATAAATATATTTTTATATTATTATTCTTCACACACCATCAACGTCAGAAGCAGGAGACTCCTATAAATAGACCGTTCATTTCTGTTTTCTAGGTAGCTGGTCTCAAACTCAGAGAACTCACTTTCTCATAACGAGATCCCTCTCTCTCTAGAGTCAGTTCTATACGCCGCTCCCATTTATTTCCAAGTACTGATTTGAGCTTTGGAGAAGGTCCCAGCCGACCACAACCCGCGGGTCCTTTTTTTGCAGGTGTTCATCTCGAGTGCTGGAATCCAACGGTAATCAAAAGGTCAACGCTCTCCAGACTCTACAACGTTCGAGGTCGGCTATTTTAGCTTGGTATCAACAAAAATAGAATTTATTCTAAAGTATCTATAATGTTATGTTCATAACAAATGAGCAAATTATCTTAAAAAAATTAACTATGCAAGTCGATGTATACCATGTTATTCAATATATATTTTTAATTATATTGTAACATGACTTACCGTTTGTATTAGTATTTCAAACCAATTAACTAATCAACTAATTTGTAAATTACCAATTCAAGAGTCCAAGAAGTAATAAAATGTTGTTAGCTAGATTAGAACCTGGACCAAAGAAGGACAAGGATAACAACTAATCAGCTAGACTACCAACAAATAACAATTAGATTTATTCTCACCACGATATTAGTAGTAAACAACAATTTTCAACGTAATTCTCTAGATTTTGTAGTGATTTACACCTAAGTTTCAAAATTCACGAGCGTTCGGAGCCCCCAAAGCTCTACATAGCTCCGCTCCGGTGCATAAGCTTGTGAAACCGGCCCATTACTAGCTACCATCCTACATGATGACATCAAGGGTACCGGTTTTGAATTTTGAGCGGCGGATTGTTTCCGGCATGTTTTCCTCTTCTATCTAAGCTCTCCCCTTGTAACTCTCCCCTGCTTGGCCTTTGACCTCTTTAAGTAAAAATAAAATATGGGGACACTTCATTACTTCTTTCTTTTTCTCTCCCCAGAGGCGAGTTGTCCACGATTGGAGCAATCAGTTTTTTCTTCAAATTTTGTTTTATTGTGCGGTGAACGCTTGGGCCGGTTATATGGTTATCAACGAGAGATTCGGCTCAAAATTCATCGTTATCAAAATCTCTCATCCAAATAACCCTATAATTCTATCCTATCCAATTTCGCTAAGAAAACATCGTACTCATATAAAGAACTAAAGAAGGGTTAAGCTTTTTAACTCACAATGATGTCTCCTGCAAAATGCTAAAAATAGCAGCGATTCAACCAAAAAAGAAATGCTTGTTAGACCACGATAAAGTAAAATTGTTATGTGCCCTAATGATGATATATGGTGGAAACGCTGAAGGCATTTACTTCGTGGGTCTCTTTATACATGCAGATGCAGTGGAGAAATAAAAAATCGTTGGGGACTATAGTGATTTAGCAAAAGACGAGCTATGTTGGAGTTAGTTATAAAAGTGGGAATTTGGTGTTGTTTTCAGAAAATTTACGTATCTTGAAGAATTTTTTTATGTGAACCCTTTCTCAAACATAAATTTTCTCAAACTAAAAAAAAAAATACAATTTTCAAGACAAAGAATGAGAAAAAGTTGAAACTTGAAATACACGATGGAGTTATCAGAATCAAGAAAATTATTTTCACAACTTAGAGAGGAAGCCGAATTGGTGGTTTTACTTCCATGTTCAATTTCCGACTAACATAGTTCGATTTTCTGACATTGTATGCTATCCTCCCGGGAACCCTAAAACAATACCTTCAGCTGTGAAGGTTTAAGAAAATTTATTAGGCATATATATTATATATAATCATGAGTTGGATTCTATCCTTCTCAATTCCTACTTCTCTCCCAACCCAATTCTTTTCTAAGTTATCTATCCCAGTTAGTGTTGCGCCATGTTGCTTAACATCAGCTTTCAGGCATCATCATGTTCAATTGGATGAGGGCTGCGCTGCTCTGTCGTTGTGCGCTCGTCGAAGGACCGATTGGGCTTCAACAAATCTGTAAATGCAGCGACATCTTCCATTAGGAAACAAACCGATAACATTTATTCTTTTTTGGTTAAAACGATAACATTTATTATTGCCATGAGTAGGTGCCCAAGCAAGCAGGTGCAATATATGGAACGCACAACAACTACATCCATGTACAATCACAACTTTTCAACATCTCAACCATGCAATTCATTATTTATTATGGGATTTCCTACAATAACTTGAAGTAAGGTAACTTGAATTTTTTTACCTGCGATAGCAGGTTTCACAGGTCGCATTACGTAAGATACAATAGGCATTACATAATGGTTACGTAACATATGGTAATCTTACGTAACAGTTGTAAAAGATCATTACGGAAGCCTTACGTAATAGAATGTGTCTTTACGTAATGAGTATTAACCTTGCGTTACGTAAAATGTTAAGTCATTACGGAAGCCTTACGTAACGCTACTGATTTAACTGTTACGTAAGAAATAGCTGTCGTTACGTAACATTTACGTAATGGAAGGTCATTTTACGTAATGAGTATTAACCTCACGTTACGTAAAGTGTTTAGTCATTACGTAAACCTTACGTAACACTTCCGATTTAATTGTTACGTAAGAAATAACTATCATTTCGTAACCTTTACGTAATGAATGTGTATTTTACGTAACAGTTGTAAAATGTCATTACAGAAGCCTTACGTAATGGAAGGTCTCTTTACGTAACGAGTATTAATGTTGTGTTACGTAAAGAGCTAAGTCATTACGGAAACTTTACGTAACGCTTCCGATTTCACTGTTACGTAAGAAATAACTATCATTCCGTAACCTTTACGTAAAGGAAGGTCTCTTTACGTAATGAGTATTAACCTCACGTTACGTAAAGTGCTAAGTTATTACGGAAGTCTTACGTAACGCTTCTAATTAAAATAAGGAAAGGATAAAATAAGGAAAGCAAATAAATGTGAAAAAGGAAAGAAAAAAACAAAGAAAGGTAAGTTAAGTGGGTGGTGACCGGCAACCCCCTATTGCCAATTATTTTTTTCTTATTTTTTATTTTTTTATTTCTTTAATCAATGGTTTAAAATAAGTTTGATCGATTTTAACGGTTTAGATCTATACAAGTTACATAACTTGAAATTATACCCAAGTTACTGTAGGAGGTCCCTATTTATTATATATAAAGCTTTCGTAAATAGATAAGAGAGGTAATTAGGCACACAACGTACTGTTCTCATGGCAGTCCTTGAAGACCAAAACTTTTTTGTTTGCCTTTCTCCACCAGCAACAGGAAACCACAACTCTGTAAGTCTTCTCATCAGGGCCGCCATCGCCGGAGCTACCAACATTGCAGCAACGAAGAATCATATAGATTTGCCTGTAACCAGAACCTCCAACAGAGACATTCTCAATCTCACGAAGCTCCATCTCAGCGCCCTGAAAAACACACAAGAAAAAAACCCATATATCATAAACGTACGACGAATCTTCATCAGTTCCTCTAAATAAATCAAAGACAAATCATGGGTGGTTTTAATCTGCTGCGCACCAGCTCGTCATTAAATGTCTCGACCGCGAATTCGGCGCAATCTTGAACAGTGTCATCGAAGCCCTGCTGGTATTTGAAATGGTATCCAGAGTGTGGCTGCGTACTGGCGTACATATAATATTGTGGAGGAGGGCAATCAGCATAAAAACACTGGAATATTGTATCAATCGAGGAACAAATTAGTAATTAGGAAAACGGAACCAACTTTTTCATCAGAAGGAATTAATTAAGGATTTTTGGATTATGGGAACTTACACCATTGAGCGTCAAGTTCCTCCTGTAGTGGATCATACGTAGCTTTAGTGTGTCATCGCCACCAAAATCGTCGTCCTCGTAAATGTAATCGTCGTCGTCGTACTCTTCTTTCATCTCCGTCTTGGCCATTTTCCGGCAGCTGTCGCAGTAGGTCAGCTCTGGGAATTCGTCGTCGCCGAAGGAATCCATGGATGACCAGTTCGATCGATAAACCACTTTTGATTTTGTTGGGAACCCTAGCTAGGGGAGGAACTAGACGAGATGATCGCCTTTACATGTTAGTCAGTTACTGATGAATGTGGTAATTCCGAGTCTGGGCCGTCATTATAGATCAGGTTTGAGCCCATTGGGCTGTATTCTCACCGTGACAAGAATATCCAGCTTTCGACATGGTCCATTCTTTTTCTTCTTACTTGAGATGAAAATTTTATTGTTGGTTTGGATAATTGAATGGATGGTTAGAGAGTGGTATAAGATCCAGCATAACCTTCTCCCAACAATTCGAGTTATTGGGAGCAACTGGTTAATGACATGGTATCAGAGCCTAGAATCGAAAGGTCATGTGTTCGAATCTCCACGACCCCCAATATTAACCGTTGTCTTTCAAGCACATGGTATGGTGGGGCTGTGCAAACTTCAAGCTTGTGGGTTGGCTTTCGTTTGAGGGGCGTGTTAGAGAGCGGTATAAGATCCAGCATAACCTCCTCCCAACAACTCGAGTTATTTGGAGCAACTTGTTCATGACATGGCACTACAACAAAAACTAGCTTTTGCAACCAAAATTTTTACAACCAAACTAAAATTGGTTGTAAAAAGGATAGTATATACAACCAATTATATTTTGGTAGCTAAAATATTAAAAATTTGGTTGTCTATTAAAGTCAAAATATTGATAACCAAATAAAACTTGAAGAGACCAAATGATTTGGTAGCAAAATGATTTTTACTTTTTCCAACCAAAAATTTTTGGTAGCAAAATGATTTTTAGTTTTTCCAACCAAATAATTTGGTAGCATATTGATCTTTACTTTCTCCAACCAAATATGATTGGTTATGAATTTAAGCAAGAAATTTGAAAATCTGAGATATAACTAAATAATTTGGTTGCAAATTCAATAAAAAATTTACAGCAACTAAATTATATGGTTGTCATAGTGTTTTATAAAAATGTAGGTACTATTCTGACTATTATTAAAACATAGGGGCTGTCATAGTAATTTTGAACAAAACAATCCAATATTAGCGTTCACTATTACGTCTCTCGACAAATCCTTTGTCAGAGGTGAATTCGATCCCATCCAAGTGGTCGGGTAAGAGACAAGGTTTTGGTAATTCGATTCCATCCGATTTCTCCTTCTCCTCTTATTCTTCTGTCTCCTCGATCATGTCGATTCCATTCGGTTTCTCCTCCTCTTCTTCTCGATTCAGATTTCGATTTCGATTTCGATTTCGATTTCGATTCTGACTCCAACTCTTCCTCTTCTCCAGTCTCCAGAGGAATCACGGTTTCAAGCAAGCAAAGAGTTCGTCTGCTTCGCTAAATAATTCCTCCCTCCCGATCGATTCTCAAAAGGTAACTTCAGATCCTAGCTGAGGTACCGTCAGAGATCTCTCCTCCTTCGCCGATCTGAAATCGATCACTGTGATTTTGATCGCCAAATATCTCGCCTCCATTTTTGGCCAATTCCTTCTCCGCTTCTTCTCGTAACAACTCCTGTTTTCTAGACTATTCCTGATCGAATCCCTCGCCAGCGTCTGTGAGCACCCCATCGTCGTCGAGACGACTCCGCTTTGACTTCGATTGCGGCCGATTGTGTCGGTGTCGGCGACGGCCGAGGAAGAGGAGAAGGCACATACGCCAGCCTAGAGCACGAGAGCCGCTCCAATCCCTCGCCAGCGTTGCTGCGATTTTGATCGCGAGTAGTGCTGCCGCCGAAGGAACCGATGCTTTCTCCTTCGTCTCTCCGATCTCGCCCTTGGTCCGTGCGTCGGGTAAGAACTGATCAGTTATCGATTGAGGTCAATATTCTAATTCGTTGTGTGGCATCGATGGCTAGGCTTCAGAGGTGCTTGTTCATGTTTTGTGGAAGGTTTCTGTAGGATCTCGGTGTGGTGGGATTCGAACTTTCTTCCCTTCAATTTGTTTGCTTCTTCTTCTGTGTGTGAGAATCATGTGGAGTCTACTGATATCAACTATCAATCTGACTGCTTTTATGTGAGGGAGTGTAACCTTGAGAATCATTTTGATTCCGCAACTATTAGCATGTTAATGTATGATTAGGGATCAACCTCAAAACATATGCAGATTGGTACAAGGAGAAGCAACAATTACCTCTTATAACTCTTATTATTCTTTACAAGTACTGAATGTGGCCACTAGCCAGAAGTAGTGGTCCATACTTTACAAAAATGAGAGCAATTTTTTAGGTGTGAGGAGATAACTGAGAGAGAAGTGGGGAAGGAGAGCAGAGTTAGAGGCTCTGAAGTAGTATTGGTCCTTGTCACGTTTCCATTACTTATCGGCTTTGCTGTTGCTGGGTTCTTAAGATACTTTGCTTTTGAACTGTCCCCACTCCTCAAGGTTAGACCATCTTCTTTGGTTCTTGGTCAGGTCGTGTTGAGTTTGACATTCAGTAGGAGTTCATTTGATCTTAAGTATGTTTATGGCATGGATGATTTTTTATTATTGTGCGATGCTAGTGAAAATTTGAGGGAGCAGAATCGTGGTGTTCTTTAGTTGATGTTCCTTTCTCAGTGGCAGAGAAGAATGAACAGTAGTTCAGAGGTTTAAACTGATTGAACTGTGCATTGAGTGTTGTTTGCAGGATGCGGAAGTTCCATGGCATTTGATTGCGATTGCAGCCTTCTTTGCATTGATCAAATTGCCAGGCCCTTATTACCCTTTCTGGGGTCGCATATTCATTCCACACTTGGCCAATGGAGTATTATGGAGGACTTTGATGCATCTGGGTTTCCAGAGCATCCTATCAGGGGTGCTCTCATGATCGCCATCGGCTGCGTTTGCTGGGCTGGTTTTGTCAATCTCCAAGTAGTTAACCTTTTCTCAGATCAACACCCTACATAGTTTCCCTAGCATAAGCTTAATTAGTTCCTCAAAAAAAATTTAATTTCTAAATTGATCGTGTAGGCAATCACATTGGAATCATACCCTGGGAAGCTGTCCTTAACAGCTCTAATATGCATGATGGGAGCAATGGAGGGATCAGTAGTGGCAGTTGGTCTGGAGTGGAAGAACCCTTCTGCATGGACAATTGGTTTCGACACCGAGTTACTAGCTGCTTTCTATAGTGTAAGGCCACCACAAAGTCGGAAATTTCAACCATTACTGGGTGTTTGTGTTTCCGTAAATAACATGGTGAATGAATTTGCAGGGGATTATATCGTCAGGAGTAGTGTACTCGATTCAAGGACTAGTGATGCAGAGAATGTTGACAGGTCTATGGTGTTGTTTTACTATCAGCCCAGCACGGTCGAGATTGAGGAGAAGAAAAAAATGAAATTGGGCCTGTCAATGAGAAGACCAGCTAGCTAGTTGCTGACTTGATGACAGACAGAGAAGAGGAGGAGACTGGTAGTTGCTCGCTCGATCGGAGGTTAGATCTGGTATGTATCCTCCTTCAATTCATTTTGCCAAACTTAGCTGAGGGGTGAAGCATAAATATATGTTAATCAATTACTGTGAAGAATATCTTATATTAATGATCAGAGCAGTTCTACAAGCAGTAGTGACAACTGACAAGGAACAAATAAATTAATGTCTTCATGTGAACAACAATTTCATTGAGATCATCTATATATCGATTGATGTGAAGAAATTTTCTATAAAAGCTGGGAAACCCACATATGTACACAAGCTGGCTAGCCAGCCATAAACTAAACCCAAAACAGCTAGAAAAGAAGAGAAGAGAAGAGAACATAATGGATAGAAAGAAACAGAAACAAAAACAGGCTGATCGAACTACTTGGTAATAATCAAACGGCAGCAGCGTAGGAGACAAAGATGCTCCAATCAGAGCTCGTCATGATTGTACTCCCCTAATCTAAGGTAATAATCTAGCGCTCCCTTTCTCTCACTCTCTCTCTATCTATCTATCTATTGTCATGAAAAAGATTCTCAGGCAGTAGTCACCCTAAGTTAGCTGTTTATTACCTTATGTTAGTAAAATGGTATTGTTTTCATGAATGTCAATGTCATCCTGTTGGTGGAGCATAAACATTGGAGCCTACTGATTTTGGTTTATTTGTGTATCTGTTTTGTAGTAAAAGCAGTAGGATCTCAAGAGGAGCTTCATAATTTAATGGTGAATCGTGAACTGAGATGATCAATCATGGAAGCATGGGAATTTAGAAATCCATAATTCCACTGATTATCAGCAGCAACATCTCTGCGTATGGAGGTGACTCTAACAGGTGAGTAATGGTGCCTCTGCTTTCCCAATTCCCATCATGTCTTCAAGTTTACAGTGAACTTCCATTATATGCCTCCAGTTAATTAATGATCAAACTTTTCTTATTTTACAATGAATGGGTTTTCTCAGCACATTAACTGATGGGTTTTGCAGGAAAGGAATGGAGTTCGAATCTTGTGATTTGCTTGTCGCGATGCATGAGAGTGGAGTCGTTGTTGATGTTTCGATTTGTGGGGATGTGGCTAGGCAGCTCTGAATGTTAAATGAGTTTGACAAGGCTAAGGTGCAGGTTGATATGGTTAGTAGAATTGAAACAGGCGAGAGATGATGAAGAGGAAGAAGATGGTGATGGAAGTGGCAATGATGAGTGTGAAAATGTTTCTGAAGTAAGTTTCAAAAGTCGGTCACCTGCACTTTGACAAACAGAAGCTTGTTATGCTTTGGCTGCTGAGTGAAGAGTACTCCCAAAATTGGCTGCTGAGTGGAGTCGAAGATTAGAGATCACAGCAGATGTACCCACAAGGTCGCGAAGCGCTGGAGAAAGCAGCTGTAAAACTTGTCGCTGCAGGTGTCAGATTAGATGACATGGATATGGTGTGTGGATAATTTTGGTTGGTAAACTATTTTGTTATATGAAATAATTTTTTACTATAATTCTATTAATTTTTAATATTTTCATTTTAGTGACCCAAATCTCATCTACCAAATTTCATTTTTACGATAATTCTATTAATTTTTAAACTTTCATAACCAATTCCATTGGTCACCAAAATGGTTTAATTGGTTGAGATATGTGTTTTTCACAACCAATTGTTATAGTTGTATTAAACTTTTATAACAAATATAATTAGTCGTCTAAAATGATATAATTGGTCGGGATATGTGTCTTTCACGACCAAATTTCATAGTTGTGTTAAATTTTCGTAACTTAATCAATTGGTTGTTGCAATGATATAATTGGTTGACATATGTTAATTTCCCAACCAAATTGAATGGTCACCTATAAACGTACGCAAATTCTATTTGCGACCAAAAAATAAGTTACTAATAACCACATCAAATTGGTTGTCATTTTTATTTTTCGCGACCAATCAATTATATTTCCCAACCATTAAGTTGGACTATGACAAAAAAGTAAGGTTTTTTACCATTGGTGAATTTGGTTGCGAAAGCTTCTTTTTCGCTACCAATCCACATTTTGGTTGCGCTAGGAATTAGTAACGCGGCTATAGCGACCAATCCTGCTACCAAAATATTTTGGTCGCAAAAAGGTATTTATAACCAATTTTTGATCTTTAGGAACCAATTTTATTGGTTGCAAAAAGCCATTTTTCTTGTAGTGTGGATGATTTGGAAAACTTTTTATTTGGAGCCAATTACTATATAAATATCACATAACAGAATATATATTATTTCGTATGTGATATTTAGCCCCAAATAACATGTTTGTGTTATTTGCCTATTCTAGTATTCTTATGCCACATGTCATAAAAATAAAATAAAAAGAAGAACTCGATAAATAGCTTAAGATTCAGGTTGGGGTTGTAAATGAGTCGAGTAGAGCCGACATTTATCCCATCTTGAGCTCGGCTCGTTAATAAACGAGCTGAGCTCTACCTCGACTCGTATATTAACTAGCCGAGTCGAGTTTGAGTTTGAGTTAGGCTTGTTTACTAAAATCTTGACTCGTATTTGATACTTCATTTTGTATGTCACATATGATACATATGATTGATGTCATGGAAAAACATAAAAAAATAGTCAAATGTTCAATATTAACTGATCTCATATTATACTTTGTTGGAATCATATTATTTAGTTAATAAATTTTAGGATTTTGCTACGGTGACATGCATGTCACCGTGACATGGACTTTTCGGTCGACCGAATACAACTTGCGGTCGACCGAATGGGCTAATTCATGTATGTTGGGTTCCTGAAGGCGGTCGACCTCTTACAAAATGCGGTCGACCGTTTTGGTGGTCTAACAGAATGACAGGTCGACCCAAATATCGCATAGGCCGACCCTTGTGCACCTAACAGGTCGACCGCATTGTGAAGAGGTCGACCGCCTTCAGACCGTATCCGTATTGGATATGGATTCCAACACCAGAAAGGTTCCACAATTGGACAAGGAAACGAATTGGGTCGACCCATTCACGTCCTAAATCTCTATAAATACGAATATGAGTCCCCTTCAACGCCACCAAGTCTGAATTAGCACTACAAAATAAACCACTTATAGCAGGGGATTTTTTTACTTTTAGAAACGGTAAGAACCGTCGCCACCATTCCCGTCAGGGGTTTGCTAATCGCTGCATAACCGCCTCAAGGAGGACCGCTGCAAATTTACGGCAGCAGACAGTCCAACCGCTGGTGAATGATTTTGCAGCGAATTTTGCTACGGTTACGGTTGCTGTCATTGTACGAATTAGCAGCGGCCAGAATAACTCCAAACTTGGTCCTTGCAGGGGTTTCGCGACATTCAAGAACTGAATGGTTAAAGGTCGTCCTAAAAATTACTAACCATCGTCCTAACTTAATATGTAATTTACCAAATTGCCCATTTTGAATTTCAAAATCAAACACAAAACAAACAACTCCTCCCCTTCCATAAATCTAAAAAAATATATAAACCAAAATTCAACAAATTATCTTATGGACCGAATCATAAATCGTAGTAAAAGAATAAAAAATTATTGATATAAACCAAACAAATCCAAAAAAACCCAAAAACCCTCAACCGAAGCCAATTTTCGGTTGTACCATGGCTCAACCTAAGGCAATTTTCGGTTGTACCATGGACCAACCGAAAATTGGCTTCGGTTGAGCCATGGTGCAACCGAAGGTGATTTTCGGTTGAGCCATGGTGCAACCGAAGGTGATTTTCGGTTGGTCCATGGTACAACCGAAAATTGCCTTAGGTTGAGCCATGGTACAACCGAAAATTGGCTTCGGTTGAGGGGTTTTGGAATTTTTTTTGAAAAAAAATCAGATTTTTACCTCGTCGGAGTCGCTACTCATGATTCGGACGTATTCTCAACGATTACGACTCGAGAATGTCAACGATGAATTCGAGAGTGTGGGAAATTGAGTGTTTTTCATTTTTTTTAGTTAAAGTGATGTTTGTTTGCTAAAAATGTCAAAAGGTTAAAAGTGTAACTTTGTTATTTTTTAGGACGATCAATAGTAATTTTAAGGACGACCTTTATCAATTCCCTTCAAGAACCCCTGTTACTATCAATTTTTTGTCCAACGTTTAAGAGCACTCATGGGAAACCAGATATAATTAACAATCATTCAAAAGTGGATTTCAGTATTTTACCACAACTTTTCTTCTGTGCTATATTTTTATTTTCACATAAACCATCTAATAATATCAAACTTCAACAAAAATAGAAGTTCCAACAAAATTCTTAATATTGAACTTTGTTGTCTTCTAATAACCCATAACTGCACTGCAAGCCATACTAACCTGTTACAAAACAAACCAAAACCAAAAAATCATTGTCACTGCTACTAGTTGAATTCCAACATACAAAAAAGACCACATGGAAACACAAAACAATGAAGACAAATAAACAGAGAGCTGAGATATGAAAATCACTTTAAAAGATCAAAATGCTACAAAAAGAACCATTTCCCCAACTGCAAGAAAACTCAAATTCTGAAAACTGAATTCTCTCACAAATCACATCTACTTGGTCCTTGCCCAAAGAGCATAGCAAACAAAGAAATGGGACAACCCCCAATACCATAAATTTTTTATCACTCCTCATGCTAGCTGCTTACACTTCAATATATCAAGAAGAAACTTTCAGGTAAACAATAAACAAAGAATAAAAGTACTTACCACCATTGACCGAGCTTACTCCACAGAGCTGCAAACTGTTTAGGTTATGGCCCCTGAACGATAAAGGGTACAATTTCCAGCAAACATCAGGGTCTATCTTGATAGTGGTGAAGGAGCAAAGATAGATTAAGGGTACAAGCTATAAACTATAATGATAGAGTAAAAGAATCATACCTTCTGATATGAAACAACCAAAAAGTACCTACGAGGTATGCAACATTTAACAGCTCAATTCACTATCGGAAACCCAAATCTAATTCAAAGACAAATTTAATGAATGCAGCCTTGTAGTTGGGCATTTTTATCATAGAGATATAGTTGTGTATGTTTTGAGTTCCCTACCCGCACACCAGTTTGGCTTGATGAAGATGCACGAAGTGAACTCTCCATTGACCCTAACTAAATTAAGAGCAGTATCAGTCCTGGAAACAAAATTAGAAAAGTGTCATGTAACATGATGCAATATAACGGGATGTGGTATAGGAGATTCAAAACTGTTGGCAGAGCAGCAGATATAAGATTTAACCTCAAATATATGCTTGAATAAGATGCGCTCTCTTTTGCATAATGAACTTAGAACCTTGAACCTCAATGTCTCTTCTCATTTCTGCACCATGTAAAGAGTAATGCAAGAGTCAAAACTATATAATTTGTTCCCACAAGCACACATGAAGACACTTGTGTTAAGTTGACAAATTAGGCAATTTTAGGGACAAATTTATCCTAAAATCAACAATCCGAACTCATAATCAGTTGGAAAAGCAACAATGGAGGAGTGATAAGCAAGTACACAAATCCAAAATGGTGGAGAAAATTACTTTCTGCTTTAGCTCTCTGTTTTCAGTCTAACCAATAAATAGCAGAATAACAAACAGCAGATGTTCCATAGTTCTAATTGTATCACATAAATATAAGCAATATTAGGCAATTATTTGTATTCAGACAAAAGCAATTACATATAACCAGAATAAGATTGAAGAAATACACCTTTCTAAAACGTCCCAAGTAGGTTTCCCACTTCTAGTGTAGTCATAAGGACCATTTTCTGTTGCTGATGGATGTAAAGCAACACATCAGAAGAGAGAAACCAAGTATTGAGAAGAGAGAACAAGGGGGCATGGCTTAGATCCCATGCGAGGATAATTACCTGCTTAAATGTAGCTGTTTGGTAAAGGGGCACACTCAAATACTACATAATGCTAAAAGAGTTAACCTAACTGAAATGGTACAATTCACTACATATATCTCAGATAAACGACTACTACTAGCTACCCCTTTGGGTTTAAATCTTGGGAGACAAACATTACGGACCAGAAAACAACTTATTAGCATTAGAGAACAGCTAATAAACCTGGGATCCATGTGTATGTTTTACCTAACCACTTGATTTTTTCTCTAGCATTACATCTAGGTTTGCAGTATGGGGGTTAATATTCCAGTGCATAGGGGTTTTGAATCTATGATGCACCCTAACCGAAGCACTCCAGATATAGTATAGTTAACATGGGAGAAGAATATCGTTGCACCATCAGCAGCTAGCTGCCCCAGCATATATTAATCGTTATACGGGTGGATTTTGATGAAGGTCTAAACTCTTAAAAGGATAGGAGGTGAGTTTATTAGCCATTCATACCACCTACAGCTACAAAGCCATACATGCACAACAACCATATTCAGAGCTCGAAACACAAAGTTAAGATAAGCAGAGAGGTTAGTAAAATCAATCATTCGAGAGAAACAACCACTTTCACCCCTAGGGTGCTAGTTTTGCAATCTAAAATTACCTGATTCCCCACAGAGCTAAAGGGTTTCTACACTGTGGAAAGAAGAACCAAAACACACCGGTGACCTTGGCTTTCGAAATCACATCCTAACCTTTTCCCGTACTAGCAAATGAGCGCCAGCATCTAATCTTTTTGTACCAATAAACATAAAAATCGAAGTCATCAAGTACACGTCTTAGAGCTATTGCTAAAGAAAGTCAAAAGCTAGCAGATGCT